AATTGAAATTTTCTAACTTGTAAAATCGATGAAAATCGATAAAAACATGTGTGGCCACTGTAAAAAAATCTATTTCGTATATACAAATAAACTGACAATTTTTTAATTTATGTATTCAAATTCTGACATGCTTACAATTTTCGGTATACAAATATAAATTGTTAAAATCGATCAAATGAAGTAATATCTTGAAAGTTCTAAAGATCTAGATTTAAATTAAGTCCTGGATTTAAATTATCGTATCTTAGACTTCGCATAAACTTTAATTACTATGTGCCAATCGTCGCGAGAGAATAATTCGCGTCAGCGTTCCCGCGATAGAAATTACTTGTCACGCGATAGAAACTACCCTGTTTTTCGTAAATTTCGCATCGCTACCCGCGTTCGCTTTTAATCTCGCGTCTTATTATGCGACTTTACCCCGAAGGCAACGAGATGCAATGTACACGTGCGCAAGTGAAAGGTAGGGTAACACGCAGATTTATCTCCGCAAAACAGCGCTCTGTTCCATGTTGCGCCGGTGTGCGCACAATCAGATATGAAAATACAGAATAATACCCTGCTGCCCTTTCATCACGCGTTCTTTGACCGTTGCCCTGTTACCCTTTACGTAGCCTGGCAACGGAATGAATTGTCCGAATCTCATCTCCCTCAGAAAAGTCGATTAATAATTAATAGTGCCTGTTTCCACACAAAAAAGAGTCTGATTGTACTCTCTAAATCTGAATCAGTGGATAGTGTAATTATCCAGTGGCATACTTAGCACTGATAATCAGTGAAATTCAATTAAAAAAGGAAGAATGTTTGAGCATTATATAACTGACATTTTCATGTCAATTTCAATCTTCCAGTATCGTATTCATTGAATTTAAGCATTAAAACGAGGTTAATCAGATCACATAATAAAGATTAGCTAAGTTAGGGATCTCATATTTTTAATTCACTGGCTACTAGTGGCATACTTGGCATTGATAGTGATTAATCACTGATTCAGATTTAGAAAATATGAATTGAAATTTAGATTGATGAAAATGAATAAGTTAGAATTTTTTAGTGAAATCTATTATAATTCTTGTTGAAATAACCAGAATTCTGATTGATATTAACAATTTCCTTCGTCCATTTTCAGCCAGAAATTTTTCGTAATGCATTATATAATATATTATAGATTAATTTTAATCTCTGTTCAGTTTACTCTTCATCTTTTTCTCAGAACTGTAAAAAGAAGAAGAGCAAAAATTGAACTGAGGTTAAAGTCTATCTACATTGGAAACAGGCCAGAATTATTAATATAATTCTGTTTAAATTTCTTTAATCATTACGATTTGCGTTGATAACATTGGCGTTAATGACATCAATTTCTGGCTTATGCTTTGCGATGTGTTTTGTAAGACGAAAGTCGAAAATGATGGAAGATTTGTTGAACCGAGCAAACTGGGAATCAGAATACTTGGAAAATCTCTGTTTCAGGGCTTTTATATAAAAAGGGACAAATTGCTCTGCAATCGTATAGTAATTGTTTGCCTAACCCATGACACACGGCGTCGCGCACGATAAGCGTGTTTATGCGCAATTATGCGCAATGTATATGCGCTATTATGTAACGACGAGGTATTATCGCCTGCCTTTGGTGCAGAGGCCGTGTGGGCGAATCTTCTTAGCGTTGTTTCTCTAACGGCAGTGCCTCGCACGCGGGAATTGACGCTCACATTTTCCGATGCCGATGATCTCATGGCGCGTGACGCCACTCAGAAAATCTATAATCAATCGTCGCTCGCGGCTTTTCTTTCATTTTCATCCCGGAACAGCGCCCTGTTTTGCATGAGGTTCTTATCTTATCGTAATGAAACATCTGTTAATTCATAGTTCTGCCCATAAACATCATGTCTTTAAGACAAGCTGTATAAATTATTATTCGTTCCGGAATTCAAATTGTACTTTTCGTTTAATGATTGTATTTAGAGTACTTGTATTTGCTTTAACGCAATATTCAAAATTTGCTGCAAAAACTCGCGAACAAGGCAAATAAGTTAAACTTATTAATTAAGATTATATCGATCGAATGATATGATCTTAATTTGACGATAATCTCTTAAAGATTTTTTTTTTTTTTTTTTTTTAATAAAAAATTGGAAAAAGAAACAAAAAGCAAATCGAGATCTACGAAAATTCTCGATCACAAATCCGACTTTAT